TACGTCAATGATATGTTGTGCGCAGACAACGTGCCATTCGACGCGTTGCATACACACCCGTATTTTCGACTGAGTGCATCTAAATCTGCGTGGTCACAGCACACATCGGAAAGGAAGCTTCCACCGACCTTGGGGCACAGATTGCGGCTCTACTTTATCGAAAATTGCGCCGGTATCTATGGGTTCGATTAGAATCTGGTCCGTCGTAAGCTGTAATAAGTTTCTTCCCAGTAGAGGATTGCGTGAAACAGAAGCGTCGGGGTCCGACTCTCACCTGACGCCCTGGAGCCGAGCGATAACGCAGCGCCCGAGGCTGACGCAGCCGCCGGCCGCCTGCGTGCTGGAGCAGCGCCAGCGGTGGCGGCCGGCGTCCGCCGGGGCACGGAGCGCTGACCTCCCTAGCCGGCCGGACCCGCGACGCCAGTGGCTTTAGCTCAATTAGGCCAGAATTGCCTGCGTTGTGCAGGGGACAATTACACGCGTACTCTAGACAGCGCTTCAAGCAGTGTGGCCAGGCTTCGCCGAAATTGATTTTCTCTCACCCCTGCAATTGACAGCATTCCAGAACCGTGTGAACGCATGTGCGTGCTAAGAGATGCCTTCACCGTGGATGAGTGAGACATTAACCATAAGTTTGCAAAAAATCGCTGGCGGAGCCATCTTTATGAGATTGCTACCATTAGTGCGGCTTAGAAAGAATCACATCATCCCAGCTTCTTGGATCTTATTCACTCCTCATTCTCGAGTCACGGATACATGACAGTTGATCATGATATATTGAGAATACGAAAAGCGAACTAGCAGCGAGCATTAGAAAAAAGAGCATCTTGCATTTCAGCCTTGCGTATGGAAAAGCAATGATTTGAATCATGAATGTCTGACTTCTGACAAACCATGTCAAACGGCCAGGTACTCACATTCTGGACCTCATTTATGTTAACGTTTTCTTACATCCTGCGGTTATTGCACCGAAATTATTTGCTCGGTTGAGCAATTGTGTATTGCTTTAAACCGAAGTATTGTCGCGACTTAAACATCAACCGACCTGCACACAAATGAATACTGAACAGATGTGACGCTGCCACGTGGAACAACGAGCAAAAGGAGCTCCTTTAATATACAAAAGGTGTTTCAATTTTCCGCTGCCGTCTTAGTTGCCGTTCTCACCGTGGGTTAATGCGCTGAAAAGCTTTAAGAAAACAAAAAGCCTTTGGGAAGTTAAGTGCATACTGCACACTTTGAAAATGAAGCGATCTTTTTCATGCAATTTCATTGACATTCAATAGCTATGCCACGTTTATCGAACTAAGTAAGCGTATACGTAATGTATCATATATATATATATATATATATATATATATATATATATATATATATGTATATATATGTATCTCATTACGGAGAACACAAGTGAAGCATGGCTAATTGAAGTAAGACAGAACCTTATTTTCACTTTGATACATATAAGCAACACTCATGATGGGAACACTACAAATACACAATGAGAACACGATTGCCGGATCACATCAATAGTGCTCACCGCCCACCACCTTATAGTTCAGGGTTTGTACAAGCGTTTGTTTGCCTGTTTAGGGCTGGAGAGAGCTCTTTAGTGAGTATACTTCCCCAAATATGAAGGCGTCTTCTGTCCTTGCACGTCCGTAAAATGTCAGTGTCGTCTGTCAGCTGTTGTGTCAATGTCTCGTGTTCGTGTCGCATGTGGTCCAGAGGTGCCCCGTCACGTAAGCGCATTGTCAGGCCGTCGCGAGGGCGTCGTTGTGGTCACACCAGTGCGGTCTATGGAACGAAGTTTGCAGCCCTCGACGTTGCATTTGAATTGATGCACTGCATTGATGCATTTTCGTTTGTCGGGTTTGTCTGGGCTGTTCCTCATGAGAAAGTTAGGGGTTTTCTTATTGCGATAATAAATGACGATGTCTATTTTGTGTTCGTTTTCGCCTTTTACATGTCGAGAGAGAGAGGTATATATATATATATATATATATATATATATATATATATATATATATCTCTAGCGGCGCGCGAGCTCGTATCTGGCGCGAGACTACTATCGCTCTATCTCTCTCCGCAGCTGGCCTATCTCTCTGGATCTCATCTAGATCTCTATCTCCTCTCTCTCTCTCTAAGATAGCTCTCTCTACTCTCTCTCTCTTCTCTCTCTCTCTATCTCTCGCTTCTCTCTCTGCCTTTTCTCTCTCTCTTCCTCCTCTCTCTCTCTCTCTGCCTTTTAGATTCATATCAGGAAGCATTTCGATTCCTGGTGGTTCCTTCGGCCAAACAATTTGGCAGTTATGCCTGGGTTCTCCCTCGTCCCGGAATCAGGAACCGCAAACCGGTTCCCAAGGCGTAATCTTGGAAACTAAACGTATGCCTGATGCAGTCTTGTTTCTCGTTTCACTCAGATTCATAATAGAAAATCACCAACATTTTCCTCGAATTTTTCTTTGAGTATAAATTCTAAGGTTTCTGAATCAGCAATGGATTGATCGTTGTGTACTGAATGAATATTAAGTCATGGTTGCCGTTGGGGATTCAAGGACAGATTGCTCGAGATTTCGTCACAACATTAATACCCGCCTTTAGAAAGACTCGTGGTGTTCGCCATAAAGGGCTCATTGTTCTTATGCCTAGTTATCGAGCATACTCAAGGAGGCACTGGTTTAGCAAAGTTTGGCAGCTTTGTTCAAGCTCAAGCTCAAGCTTTGCTCAATCTCAAAGCTTTTTGGCTATATTGTCAGTACTCGACGTATCAGTATGCGCGAGTGGTCAGCAGCGAGAAAGGTTGAGCAAGGTTAAGCAACAACAAAACAACACACAACCGAAAAACAAGACATGTGAGTCCAGCAAATCCTAAAAATCTGTACAGACACGGCAACCACAACGATGTCAAAAATAATAAGCAATTTGAGCTCCCACCACTAAACACTAGATACGCGGTTTTACACTAGGGCTGCACGAGCCGGGAACAAACCCAGATGGCTATGATGACCCATATCGAGTCTTACTTATAAAATTGCTTGCCACGATCACTAGTGGTTACATTTCAGACATTGCCCCAACCTCATGAGCACCTCAGCAATTCAGGTTTTTACATCCCAATATCCAATGCTTAGAATTGCCGCAGATTCGTAATCTTCGTCCGAGGTTGAACACACAAATGCCACCACGGGAACCAATTTGAACAGCATTGCTTCCGCTTTGAATACATAGAAATAGCCCGTTATTACCTGTGATGAATGTCGATGCCGCTTCAAATTTCTGCCTATCCTGATGCTCGGTGCCAGTCATTGCAACCTTTCGTCTTAGCCGTCTGCGGTTCGGGCAGGCTTAACAGTAATGTGCATTAGGTGATAGGACGTAAAATCTGCTCATGGGGTTCGAGTGATGCTTGTGATGCCTAGGTGATTGTGGTAGATGTTTCTGCAAGCTAGTGCTCGGTATGGGTCATCGCAGTCTTAAGCTTTACCGCCGGTCTTTCGTGCAGCTCTTCGCGTAGAACCCTGTGTCGGGCGTTAAGATGTGGGAGCTTGGATAATTAGCGATATTTGACATTTTTTAGTGACAGTGTCTGCACAGATTCGTGACATTTTCAGGCTTCATGTGCCTTAGGTTTTATATATACTTTCGTTGCTTAACGTTGCTCAACCCTTTTCAGTTGTGGCCGTAAGCGCAGCTTAAAACGCCAAGTACTGCCAATACAACCACTGTTTCTCTACAACGTCGTTTGACGACCTCCTGATATCTTGAAGGTCGATAACTCAGCACGAAACTAATACGATAGCCTGAATGACGATATTTTTGTCTTGGATGAAACTTGGCCGAAAGTTCATGTTAACACACCATGTGACATAAATCATGAACACAAAGGTTAACCAATATGTAGCATAGGTGGGCAGCGGTGCATTTGAGCAAGGAGTATGTTAACGCTCTTCATATGCCGGAAAACATGCTGAAATCCATTTATTCCATTAATTTATAATTTATCGGCAGACCCTTTGTGTTTCAGGGATTTCAAATATCATTTCCACACATGTCCAGACTTTCAGAATGTTGTGCCGCAGGGACCACGGTGCGGACCACTTATAGATGTTATACATTGTTTGATAGCATGGCGACTGGATCTGACTGCTTTGCTGGTGAATTGTGGATTAACTCTCACTAGTCCGAAATGAAACGGGTCGACGTATTTCATCAAAGCACATCAAAACTGGCAATGAAGCTCTAGTATACTAATTGGCAAATCACCTTTTGGGGCTACTCCTAAAAATTGACAAGCGAGTCTCCATCACGTGGATAAAATTTGGACTGTTCTGCGCATGTGTCAACGTCTGGCCATTTCGTTTTGAGCGGCAAAGCCAGCTGCCCGTTCTGTGCAGACATATCTTACATCCTGCGCTAACGTTCTATATCTTACACCCGTGATCTGACCTGGAATAAAGATGTTTTCCACATCAGGATATATGAAATGAATCGTTTGAATGTCATTAAATGCATCGAAATCCTACTCATTATCGATTCCTCATAAAGCACCGCAAAATGGGATTAACGGATTTTCGGAACCAAGGGTTGTGCCAGGTGGAGAGACAAGAACATCCCTTTGAAGCAACGCACCAAAATTTTGCACCGTGATACCATCAAGCACGTTTTCCTACGCCCTTCTTCTGGCGCTGATGTAGGGCCGACACGCGATATCTCCACCGAGTCTGAGGGAGCCTAGTGATGCTATCTCGGAGCAGGCCCGCCGCCGACGGACAGCATGCGGGTACTACTCGCTGCCCCTCCCCCCGCGGACGACGGACGCGTGCCGGGGAACCCGCGCCGCCGCCACCCGCCGCTAGGGGGCGGAGCCAGCCGCGCCAGGGTACAAGTAGAACCCCAGGTCGGCGGCGGCCAGCAGTGGCCGAGTAGCAGCGGCCGCGCCGGAGCGAGCGACGCTGCGCGGAGCGTGCAGCAGCGCCCCCTCCCGCCCACCGGTCAGCATGTCCGTCCAGGGCGCGGTGCCGATCCGCCCCAGTCCGCAGAAGCTGGGCGCCGCCTGCCTGGTCTTGACGCCGGTGCCGGTCGTCGCCGGCGCGGGCCCGGTGCGAACGCTAGCGGCGGCGCGCGGCGTCCGCCGGCCGCCACCGGTGCCGCTCGGCCGCGGGCTGAAGCGGCGCGCCGGCTTGCCGGCCTACGTGCCGGCGCCGCAGCCGACCAACGTGCTGCGCCGCAACGCGCGCGAGCGCAACCGCGTCAAGCAGGTCAACCACGGCTTCGCGGCGCTGCGTAACCACATCCCGGGTGCGGCCAAGAACAAGAAGCTCAGCAAGGTGGACACGCTGCGGCGCGCCATGGAGTACATCCAGAGCCTGCAGGAGCAGCTGGAGGAGCACGGCGACGGCTGTCGGACGCCGCAAGAGGTGGAGCAGAGCCCGGCCGCCTACCCGAGCACGCCGGCGGCAGCGGAGGGCTCAGGAGCTTACCTCAGCCCGCACGGCGACCAACACTTCGCCGGCTACCTGTCGCCCGGCGAGGAGCAGCCGTCGGGGTACCTGACGCCGCGCGAGGAGTACCACTCCGGCTACCTGACGCCGCAGAGCTCGCCGCAGCCGTGCATGCCGTCGCCGCTGACACTGACGCCGTCCAGCCTGGCCAGCGTGGACAGCAGCTTCTCGGAGGGCCGGCCGTTCCCGTCGCCGTGGCCGGCCGGCGAGCCGGCGCTGCCGACGCGGCCCTGCCCCGACACGCCGTCCCCGACGTCCTCGTACGGGGGCGACCCGGCGCTGCGGCCGTCTGCGCACTACTGCTACGGCGAGGGCGCGCCGGCGTACCAGGACCCGGCCGACGACTTCAGCCCCGAGGACGAGGAGCTGTTGGACGCCATCGCCTGGTGGCAGACGAGCCAGTGAGGGCGCCCGCCAGCGCCGCGGAGAGGTAGGTGTACGCTGAGGGTGGCGAGGCATGTCCCAGCACGCGTGGGCCCCTGAGACGGCGGCCCGCGGTGGCCGAAGCGCTGTCTCCGCGGCGCGGTTTTCGCGGCCGACGCTGTTTCGCTCCGAGCCGAGAACGAGCCGAGTCGCGTCTGTAGCGTGTTTATGACCCAGGGCGTCGCGCTCGGCCGCGCTCGCCGGCCGTTGGGCGACCGACAGGGGCAGGTCACGGGTCATGATCACGGCCAGCCCCTCGTCCCCGGCCGGAGCGTGGGAGCCGCCGGCCGGCGCCGTCTGTGGCGGCTTCCGTCCCCGGTCCGAAGCGGCGGCGGCGGCGCGGCCGGTCGCCGGCCCGGCGGACAGGAAGCCGCCGGCGCCGTCGGCTCCGCTTGGCCGGCGGTCCGGAGAGGCGACGGCGCGGCCGGCCTGCCCGGCACCCTTGCCCGGCGACGGGCGGGGCCAGTCGAGGCCGCCGGCTCCCCGCGCGCCGCTCTCACCGGATGTCATGCCGCTCGAGGAGCCTCCAGTGGCTGGGGTCCGGTGGACAGTGGGACGGCCGATCGATGAATGATCACAGTCGGCCAGTTTGTAACTGGCTCCTACGCTTTTTACGTGGGCATCTACCCTCGGTTTCTTTTGTAAATTAATGGCTGCGACGGATATGCGAAACCTTTTGCCTGGAACTATTGCCCACCGCAGCACCGCAATGCACCGGCGAAAAGGGACCATTTCTGCTATTATGCAAGCCTCATCGGCCAACTATGGAGCTATTTACGAGGTGAACTCGTTCAGACGGAGAAACTGTAAATCTCACACGAAATACCTGTCCAGCTACCTGCCGATGTCTGCATTCTTCTCTGTCCCTTGGTTTTTTTATAATCAGGATCCTTTGTGCCCTTTGAGACGCCGGGTCCCTTTCATTTCCCCCGACCGTCGCTCGGAGGGGACTGGACGGAAACATTCATCCCGACAGGCCGGCCGTCTGGGTTGTCCCGCCCGATTCAGGACTGGGTCTCTGGGGACCAGTTAATCTGCTGGGTTCTATGCCTTTCCGATCACAAAAACGAAATATGATCCCTCCTACAGAAATGACTTGCTTTCAAGCGCAAAGGTTTTGCGTTTACCGGATTTCACTTTTGCGCTTGGTCCCTCGTTTTGATGTTCGAATGTCGTGTACGTCGTGACGTGATAGTGACGAGATGGATGGTGACGAGATGGTGACGATCGATCCTCTCGTCCGCAGGAACCTAGTCACCGACGGCGCCGTTTCAGCCACACCGGCCCACTGCCCCGGCCACGGCCAGCAAGATCTCAGCCGCCCGTCAACGGAGCGTCGCAAACCATCAGAACGTCACTCGCCATCATTCGACGTGACCCGCCATCGCTTGACGTCACCCGCCATCGTGTGACGTCACTCGTCACCTTCTGACGTCACACGCTACCACTGACGCCGGCAGCGGTCAGACGCCACTCGTCATCAGCACGTCACCGGCCGCCAACACGCGTCACCCGCCATCAGCTGATGCCGCCATCAAGCACCCGCCGGCTGCCGACGCCACGGGTCGAGCGCGTCACCAGGTGCGTTCTGCGTTTACGCTGAGCGCGCGCTGTCCTGCGGAGACCAGCCGGATGCCCGCTGCCAGCGGCACCGCCGGCTCGGCGTGTTTTCTCGCTGCGTTTCCTCGTGCTCTGCCGCGCTCGAAACGGATTCATTTATAACAGGCCCCTCCTGATCGGATCTGATTTAATTGGATTAAACCCTTCTGCTCCGAACGGGTCGTATCGACGTCAATTAATTAAATGTGTCTTACTCGATAACGAGCGCGTCTGACGTGAGTTTCTCCTTCGGCAGGTGAACTGGAGCGAGACGTCGGGTGCTCCGAGACGACTGGCCCGGGAGCTGACCCGACCTGACCTGACCTGACCTGAGCCGATCTCGGAGGTCCGGCAACCGACGGGATGCGCTCCGTTCGGCCGCAAGAAGTTTATCTAAAACTGCCGAGGTCACCTGTCTTGCTTGTGGTTGCAGTGGCATTTACATTCGCTTATTAGAATTAAGTGGTTCATATTGTTAACGTTTGTTCGACGCTTCAGTGGATGGAGCTGACGCATTTACGGGATCTCCCTATTTGTAGCTACTGTGTTCGCAATTGATGTCTGGTGCAACCAGTGTATATTTGTTAATCTGACCTTTGGTCGATGATGACAGGTGAACAATGCCTGCGTTTTTTGCTGTATGACTGCGCATGTGCGTCATCAGGTTCATGTTAGAGGCTTCCCTGAGTTGTGGGCGCATGGTCATAACATTCGCCCCTCGTTAAGAATACATGTAGCAATCTCACTGCGTGGTATTTTCGACATAGATGTGCAGGTGACGGTGATGCCCTATGAGCTGATCTAATTCTTAAACGTGGAGTGCGCCCAACCCTGCCAATGCCGCACTGATTATTGACGGTGGTAAGCCGAACATATGCGGCGCAGCCCAGCAGCTTGTTGACACGGAGCTAACAAACGGTATGCATGATCAAGAGAGCCTGGAGTCTCGCAGATGAGCAAGGACACGATTGACCGCTGCGACAGAAAGCGATTAACCGCTGCGACAGAAAGTGATTGACCTCTGTGACAGAAAATGATTGAGCGCAGCAGTGTCGCACTGCGATAGGTGCGAGATCTTTCACCACCGACAGCAGAACGGCGCAAACTCAAGCCGGCTGCCGCTATCGAGCTGATGAAATACGTGGACGTATAAGGCGGTTGTTTTCCACAGGTGCGCTTGAGGCACTCTGCACTCTGCACTCTGCTGCCGTACAATATCCTGTTTACCCCAGGGCATCTTCCGTCCAGTCCCGGCAACGGGACGAAATGTCGCACACTCTCTTCCCAGTTCCTGCCAGGCTCATTCCTGATCCACCCAAGAACGCCCTCCGCTCAAACCCCCAGCCCACTCGCATGACATCCAACATTCGCTCTCCGGTTCCCTCACGAAACGTCCCACATTTGCTCGCCGATCCCCGAGCGCCCCCTCCGGCCGGACCGCGCCCGCCCTTCCGTCCGTTCTCGAGCGGCGGTGACGCGGGCGCCGATGGCGCTGCCGGCCGGGCCGATCCCTGCCCTGATAGAGGCAGCGTCCAGCCGCCTGTCAGCTGACGCACGGCCGTCGGCCGGTATTCAGGGGGGGGGGGGGGCGCACGCGCCCCGCCCCCGGTCGGCCGCTGAGCACCGCTGCCGACGCCGCAGCGGTCGGCGCCGGCGGAGGCGCCGGCGGTGGCGTCCGACGGCTCACCGGGTGGCCTGATCTCCGCCGCGGTGGTCACAGCGGTCGGAAACATGTGTGTTAGTGTGCTACCCGCTCAGAAGAGCAGGTAGCTCTTCTTAGCTTAGTAGCCTTTGGTATTCGAGGAGTTATTGTCGTAATTAGGGACGACGCTGAAACATCCTAGATAACAACATATAATGCATAATATATAATAACAATAGCATTTCTAGTCTCTCAGAACAACCGTTCTTTGAAACGACGCCCATCCTCTGCCATCTGTTGAGAAAATATGTAATCAATACGTGGATATCAAAATAAGTAACTGAACGACCCACACCAAGGACGCTGTTCTTTGGCAGTCCCGTACTGACGATCGTGCCTGTTAGCATGTAGTTCCCGATGGTGAGTAAAAATAATGTTTGATCGAGCCATGCATCTGTTTATCTCTCAGAGCCTTTGTTACGGAATATGTGTTGGTCATGAGGCCAGAAATGTGTTTAGCTGCTCTGACACTGGGCAGCGGCATTACGCTTTTGTTAAAAGCTAATCGCAAGGGCACCTCTGGCTGCCTCACGCTAAGATGCAGCTAAGGTTGCCATCCTGAGAGTTATTACAGGGTAAAGGTATCCACAGAAGTAGGCTTCTCCTGGGCATTTGCACCCCAATAATTATTTTATAATAATAATAATTTCAAAATGATAATAGCAATGGTATTATAATAACAATATTATCATTTGTATAATAATAATACCAATATAATGATAATAATAATAATACCGATGTAATACTAATACTAATACTACTACTACTACCTACTACTACTTCTAATAATAATATTTTATAAGAATAATTCACACCCAATAATTTTATTTCTATTGCATTTTCGGCTAAATCCCATGACCCACGGCTCCACCGTCGGCTGCCGCGGCGCTGCTTCATCACAGCGCGGCACAGCCCCACTGGGAGCCGTCGTACTATATTGAGCGTTTCTGTCATCAGGTCTTGGAAAGAAACCGACTATGGTGCGAGACCAACAAACGGCGCTGGTTGCTCACCATGTTAAAAACCTGGCATTGGTATCAAAGGGGCAGCGTCTGCATCACTTGCCATTAACTTGAAACGCTGGAGGACAAGTCAAAGTTCCATCAACACATATTGCCGATATCTTGAATAGCTTTTGATAAGGGGCATTGCGAGAATAATTAGGAGGGAGCAGATGTCCCGATATCAAGGGTCGTCGCCCACATTAATAGTGAATCGAATTCATATAGATATGAGAAGGCTGTCTTTGAACTGGTTACGATACTCGAAATGCAGCCTACAGCTGTACTGTTGGCCTTAAAAATAGGTTGTTCAGCAGACCAAAGACAACGACACTAGGTGTTCGCATTAGACAACATTGCAGCCACTGAGCGTGAAATTTCCCCAATCTTTAATTATCTTGACGATACAAACCATCGGATCTGATATAGTTCCTTACACAGTTTTGAAACCGGTAGCGTGCTTGATATCGGAACCCGTGTCGTCATTACACAGCGAACCACTTAGACTTATTCCCGACCTCTTGGAAAGAGGCCATTGTTTGCCCGGTCTATACAAACCGACCTTCAGCACTGGACTCTCAAAGTCACAATCCATTCTGACTGCTTCCTTCTCTTTCAAACATTCCGGACACCGGACAAAGATTGTCATGCTTATCAGATTCTGTGTGCCGTCACATTTTGACCACTATGACGTTATTCACAACGGGCACATTACAATGACGGACCAGTGGAGACTCGAAGATCCCCCAAAGCAGGGTAGCCAGACCAGCGGCACGGACCACCGACACCGACAGAGGCACTACGACGTGGATTGGATTTGGACGCACTCAGCGCGTGACGGGACGCGCATAACGCACATTTCAACAGAAAACTCGTAAACACACTACTCTCTCAGGGTATACCACATAAATTTCTAAGGTCGATCCTTCATCCTAAGTAACATAAGACTCTGGCATAATCTCACAGAGCCTAACCGCTTACAGCGCTCACCCAAAGCCCTCAAAACAGCTCTTAAACAGCGGATGGGTGCAGAAAGCCCACCACGCCTCTCGCCTTTGACTCCACTAAAAGCTGCCATTTACACGCAGAATAATGCTGCGCATGCCACCTGTCAAAGCTCCTCAGTATGGGGGGGGGGGGGGGGTAGAGAGATTCCAAAGGCCAAAATGCATCTGTGCACATCATGCACGAAGCACCGAACACTTTGTGTTGGAATGTCCCCAAGCACAGCCAGCTCATAGCAGAGTTCTTCACAAGCATAACATTACTAACGGATTCAAACTTTTCGTCTCTTTACACATATACAAACCAGCCAGATATACTTCTCCACGGCGCAATCCTCAGCAGCATCGTGGGTCGCGCAGTGGCACTCCACCTTCAGAGCTGCCCCATGGTGACTGGCTCGCCTCGTCCGTCAAGTCCTGTTCGCGAGTACTGGGGGATGGGGTTGGGGGTCATTCGGGCGGGGGGCTGAAGCCAATGACGACGGACAGGCAGAGCTTTACGCCGACGCGACGGCTTTGAAATGCATAGTTTAAGTTCGTTTGAGAAGCGTGCTTCGATCTAAGCGATAGCTTATGCACCCATCCTTCTCACCTGTGAATGATGTGCCATGCTGTTCTCTTTCTCTGTACAACCGTGTCATAAATCAAAGAAAGACATGCTGATAATAATGATCCACTGCACACTTTGGCTCACGTTTAGCTGTTACGTTTTCTGGTCGAGTCTTTTGTTTGTCCTTTACTATCTGCCACCGTTCCAAGCGCTATCTGAAAATATCTTTATTTCTGATCGGTGTCCTGACCCCTTTCATTTTTCACGCCGGCTCCGGCTGTCCACAAAGGCTGTTCTGGTCCGTTGTCTTATCACCTCCTCAGCTCCCTGGCGTCTGTCTCGGCTTCTAACGAGCGTCCCGGCCGGAGACGGCCCGGTGCCGGCCGCTCGCGGTGCCCGCGGGCGCACCCATTCCCATGTCGCCTGACCGATGACGGCCACGTGCCGCGACGCGTCAACTCTTTACCATTCGGGCGCGAGGCGGCTCTGAAAGCCGACACCGGCTGACGACAGGGCGACCGGCAGGATTACCAGTCACAAAGACCGGCCATCCATCAGACGGACAAACAAAAACGGTCGCGGCACGCCGCCCGTAAATGTTATTCACAGCGTAATGCCATTAATACGGGTCATTTTTGAGTCATCCATCTTGTTTTGTTTCGCCGATTGAAACGTAGAGACCGAAGGTCGCCGCGTCGGCGGCCCGGCTGGGCGCAGACGGCGGCGCCGGCCGATGCCTCGCTCGTAAATAACGTCCCCTCGACAAAATGATGAACGCTAATGGTCCGGGCCGTGCGGTGAGAAGTGGCAGTGCCGGTGAAATACTGCGCCCGGCCGACTGACCCACTGGGGGTCAGCGCTGCTGTTACGCGAGGGTTCCGGAGCCGTCACGACGGCATCGCTCTGTGATGAGATGGCTGACGCTCGTACGCAAGGTTCCCAATTAAAGGTGCAGTGCTGCTCCACCTAGCACCGACCGGTCCACCGGTCCCAGATCATGCGGGATAGACGGGCCGCGTAGCCATTTTTCATCTTTCTCTTGGATAAATCAGATTATCTTGCCATCGGAGTGAGTGCCTTTTAAGCAGTTTTATTTCGGTGCGTCCTTTATTTTGTGGCTGAGCTCGATCATCTGCGCGAGTTTTATATACCACAGCGGCATCTGTCAATTAGGGCGATATGCCACCGCAATGAGCCGCCGATGCGTGTAATTGACTCGTATAGGCTAGTCCTAAGACCGACGAGGGGAAATAGCGGTGGCTTATCTCTAAACACGCAGATGATTCCTTCAACGTTCAGTGAGCATGTGAGCCTAAGTGACGCTGCAGGATGCCTTATGCACTCTCCAAAGATCATCAGATGTTTTAGGTCATCACTGCCCACATGGTTTTCTACTCAAGATCGCAATCAACCAGTTTAAGCGACTGAGTTCGCATTGCTCTGTGCTCTATTCCGTACTTTGGCTAAGCTTGTGGTGACCCCTGAGCA